TCAGGAACTCACCATACAACAAACTTAGGATCTTCGAATCTCATGGTTAGTGCCTAACCCTAAGGCTACTATGTCGAAGACCAGTGGTTTAAATTTCTTACTGATTGTTCTCATTCTGATTCAGAACTATTTGAATGATATAAATAGTATAAACAATAGTATTGTACTTTCACACTACCACTACTATTTCATCATCACTAATAACTATTTTTTTCATCTTCTATTGTAAAACAACCAAACACCTATGATGATGAACTCATTAGGATAGATTTCACTCAATTCATTTTTGTTTAGTATCAAATTTATAATCAATGAAATGTAATCGTTGTGTATTTAAAGCAAAATGATCAACATCACACTATTATTATCTCACGATTTAAGTGAATTAAAATCATCTTAACTATAAACATTTAATTAGTGTTAAATATTCTGGTTAAAATAATTATGTTCATTGATTAATCATTTAGTTTAACACATAGAAACATTGATACAGGGAGGCATCAAATACATATGCGTCATACTTGTGTGAAAGCTGAAAGAATATTGCCTTGGAGCCTGAATCGAAGCAAATGTTTTTCTTACGGGTCACACCCTGAACCCTTCACCTACAGGTCTGATCCACAAGGCAGTGAGGCAACGTTAAGCGATTCAGTCACATGGTAGCCGGTGACCAACAAAAGGTTCATACACTATTTGTTTCCTAAAGGATCCTGGAGCCCATATGGAGCATTGGTTTAAAATGAGGGTTTTCCAACTTACCTAGGTGGATCCTGGATATCAACCAACCCGATTAAAGCGCCAGACATTCGCTTTTCGTCCTCTCACCTTCGTAAATAACATCTCCGCCACGAGTAGGCATTGAGTAGGAATTCCCTGGAAGTGGCTGTATATGCGTGGCCATGTGAAAGCGTATACAGCCATTGTCAGTGAAGTCCTACTCATTGCTTTCTCGCGGCGCGGTTGTTTTTTACGAAATTGAGAGGACGAAATGCGAATGTCCGGTGCTTTAACCTGTTTGGTGGGCATGGAGGATCCACTTGGAGGAGTTAGAAAATATCGATTCCAAACCATCGGTACACATAAGCTCCAGGATGCTAAGGGAAAAAATGGTATATGAACCAATTATTGGTCATTGGCTACTATGGGACCTCATTTCCTTACATTACTGCACTGCATTGTGGATCAGACCTTTAGGTCGAAGGCTCCGGGTTTGTCCCCCTAAGAAAACCCTCTACTTCGGTTTGGGCACACGGGAAACTCACTCACAAATCAAATGAGATTTCATGATAACTGTAAACATTGATTTCTTTTAGAATAATCTTTATAATATTCCATATACAATAAACATTGCGTAATTATGTGCTTACATGAATGAATACATCGTTACTAGCTAAACAATATATTATTAGTATATTCATCAATCATCTAGTTCCGTGATTATATAAATATGGATATATATAGGCGTTAGTCTCTGTGTGTGTGTATGCATATATGTATGCGTGTTTGTTTGAGAAGAATCGTTACTATCCTTATCAATATAGTTGAGTCGATCGATTTTCGATTATATTAATGATTGATGTATTAATAATGATAATAATAATAATAATAATAATAATAATAATAATAATAATAATAGTGAAGCTCCCTAATATCATGTTGTATAGATCTTTATATCTCTGTCTAACCTACCTATTGAATGAATATCCATCAATTTTATTTTAACCAGTTATTCTTTCAGTGAAATTATCATCGCACCTCTTATATTCCCATAGTTCATATAATATAGTTGTAAAGTCTTTAAACATTTGTATATATGAACAATGAATAAATTACTATCTAAATAGAACTTCTTATCGACAACTGTTTATTCTTTCATATTGAACATCATAGTTTATGTTTTATGGGTATGAAACATGATAAGTAAAGATAAAAATAGCTTACTAATATTTGGTCATAGATGTGTTCTAGGTATTTCTTACATATCGTGAAATCATCATGACCTCAAATGCTCTGATACGGTCGAGAGTGGGCATGGTTGGAAGAAGGTTAGGGGCGGCCAAACCAAAACGTGGCATCAGTGCTTGAAGTCACTAAATTCTAGTTTGAGCCATGTTAGTAGATGCATACTACTTAGTTGGGGTCCGCGTGACTATCGTAACCAATGATTAGAGACTCTGTTTGACATGGCTCAGAATCGACCACAATGGCGTCGGTGTATACACTCTCCGTCTTCCCTTAAGGTATGAGATTAAAATTGCTTTACATCTTTCTTTCTATGAACTAATTCTTTCTTCCTGTACTATATCCTTATATGCAATCTTTTTTTATATATATTACCACCTCTGAATTAACTACTTTTATGAATCCGGTGTCCATCTTGTTGTGTTAATGAGGTATGGCAACTTGGACCGATGCATATATGTGCCTGATCCTACGTTGTGGCTGACTGACTGACTGGGGAGAGTTCGCTCTCTCCGCTCTTACATAGCCATGTGTATATAACCACTGTCAGGGAAATTCTACTCACTGCCTTCTCGCGTCGGGGATGTTGTTCACGAAATTGAAATGACGAAAAATGAATGTGTTAGTGCTTTAACTGGGTTAGTGGATATGAAGGACCCACCTAGGGGAGTTGAAAAAACTCTGATTTCAAACCAATGTTGTATATTGGCTCCAGAATCTTGAGGGAACATAAGGTGTATGAACCTATTGTTGATGATCAGCTACCGTGTGACTACTGCATCTCTTAAGGTTGCGAATTTGACCTCTAGGTCGAATAGAAAACCAAATGCTTCAGCTTAGGCGTCCGGGAAGTATTCTAGCCCTCACACAAAGCGAATGATTAAGTGTGATGCTTATGTATTTGGTGCCTCCCTGTATCAATTTTCATATGTTTAAATAAATGCTGAACTTAGATGCAGGGTAATAGGAAAATATGGCAAGTCGATTAATAAGGCTGTGTATCTCTATCGGCTGAGTTTATTGGGATATATATCATGTAAGCCCGATAACCGCCTACATCGAAGCTTAGCGTTATTTCGGGAAACAGTAGTTTGGAAGATAACTAAGGACGAAAAATCCAAAACATGGGATCAGTTCATGAAATCACTGACTGTTGGCCTAAGCCAGTTGGTGAATGCAGTCTATTTAGTCGGAATCCATACGGTAACCATAGATGTTAACACAGGCATTCACTCTTTGTCTTCCCCTTCAAATCTTGAGCTTTAAAGTTATTTTATACTTTTTTTATTTTACGGATTCATTCCTACTTCTCGAATCATATTCTCCAGCCCTTATGTGTCCTACTACCACTGACACTTTTACTGCCAATCTTACTACATTGATAACATTAAAATAATCTTTATAAAATCTCTTTATTTTAACATATTTTTTAGTTCGTTAACTGGTATGTAAACCAATTTCTCCCTGGTTTATCGACTACTTACGAGTACAAGAATCGTTCTATTAATTACTGTTACAATTTCTTTAATCAATTCGACAAGATAATGAAAATAAGTGAAAAGTAATAAACACTGAAACAATTATATTGCATATAAATCAGTATCAAACTTCACCAATCCGACTAGTTACGATTATTGTTTCAACTGTATCTTGAGTGCTGTTAGAGGTATAACGGCTGTTATCACTTCCCGGTTGCCCACACCGTGGAAGGGTTCTTGTGGAGGTACCTGAAAAAGAAATTGAGTTAGGAGTGATCTTAATGACCTGATAGCGTGACCGCAGTGCCCAAGAGACAACTGCTTGAGGCCGATCACACACGACCATTTTGTGCGTAATTTTCGTGTTAGTTCCGTACTTATCGGAACCTTATCGCCGGGTTGACCTTTTCTAACCCGACTCCTCCTTGTGAGAAGGCAGCATCGCTATTATGTTGGTTGTCTGAAGGAAACACCTTACTGCTGTCACACCTCTGTACAGTGAGCAGTACGGCTTCGCCTTCGGACGTGGGGTTTGGTCAACTGTACATTTCATCAAAATAAATTCTTGTTGAATAATAGCCGGATAGATCAAACTATGTAGACTTAGTCGGTTAAGTTGAAGGTGAATTGGAACACTTTGAACACCTCGAATTAATCAACCAGACGTAATTTCTGTGTTAAACGGTTCATTTATTGGAATAGGTATTATTATCCAGTGTTAGAGAAATTATCATTTTAAATGTATGGTATATAAACTTGGTGTTGATTAATTTGGGCCCACCATATTGTATCAGGATATCAGATTAATTCTATTACTCAGATGCTAAGCGTAGTATACTATGCACAAATAGAAAATCATTTAATCAGGTTACTAACCTTCATCGGCTAAGGTGGTAGAGAAATATGATATGCATATTTAACCACTATCTTTACAGATACGAAATTCTGACTAGCATAGAGGGTGGGAGAATAAGTTGAACAGATCAAGACATGTTATTGTTTTATGCAGTTAGTGCTTATTGACATATAATGTGTTGGTAGGTCCAAACTTCCTTCTTGAGATATTTAATATGACCTTACCTATGACGAAAGATATAAGGTGACTGTGGACAAAGTCGATGTTACTTGCACGAATCCATCCATTATTATTCATCTTCCAAACCTTTAGCTCGGTATTATCCTGTACGTTTTACTCACTGACTTTATTTTTTGAAACCGTATGTTTTGTTTTTAGTATTATTTGTGGAATTACTTTGAATTCTTTACTTGTCATCTTTTTAATTTCATCTCTGTCGCTGTGCTGATATAAAGTGTGGCGTTTTGTAGTGATTTGTATTTGTGCTACATTGTTTATAAATGACTTACCTACTGACGCTTCCAAATATATGTGTTTAGTAAATGGTCAAGATTTCGATTCTTCTTTGTCGCTCCAGCGGGTACGTATTCTGTCACACACACACACACACATTACACCATTGACTCAGTGAGAGAGTACTTTTCGAAATTGCATTTGATTCTTTAGTTCTATCTAATCACTTTAGCTTTTTTTTTTGCTTTCAGACATCAAATATTCGTCATCAGTTATGCACGTCTTTTAGCTGCTCAATTGTCGATCCAAGTACCACAATCCTGTTTCTCCTCTTCAACTTCTTCATCGGATTCCTTCACTCACTTAAATTACGGGTCGACTGAACTAGTTAATTATCTTCATGAAGTATTTATAAACTATATTCCACCAATGTTTACTCCGTCTAATAAACACATTGTAATTGATGAGAATGAAATGAAGCCTCAGCAAATGACCACATCTACTTCACCATCAAAATTGTCATTGCCTAAAGATAATGATCCTACTATTACATCAATGAAAAGAATTATTTTCAATAATCCTTCTCTCAATAATGATGATAAGGATTTGCCAATAAAAGAAATTTGTCTAAATGAATCATTTTTAAAAATGTGTACAAATATTTTGGAGAGTTTAAGTAAACCAGAGAAATTTAAAGGTATGTCCTAATTTGTTCTATCTGTTTTAAAACCATTTGTTTAAATTCAATCAGCTACAACGTAGGATCAGGCACATAGATACATCGGTCCAAGTTGCCATACCTCATTAGATCCAAATTCACAGAAGTAGCTAATTCAGTGGTGGTAATATATAAAATGTATTTTCCATTATAGACAGCAGTGCGATTGACAATGGTGCTTTTCAGCTTATTTACGACTCTTCATTTGAGTGTAGTTGTATAGGGATTGAAGTAGGTGAGTGTGTCGACCGCTTCACTCATCTTGGAAGCCTCATCAGCCCTTGCGGTCTGGTGTGTAACGAAATCTCATCACGGATACAGAAGGCTCGACTAGCTTTTGCCAACTTGCGTCATTTATGGCGTAGACGAGATATCGGTCTACTGTGCAGCAGTTTTTTCCATTCTACTCTATGGAAGTGAAACATGGCCGTTAAGAGTAGAGGATACTCGTAGGTTACTAGTATTTGATCATAGGTGTCTTCGAAACATTGCTCGTATATCCTGGGACCATCGAGTAAGTAATTCAGTTGTTAGGAAACGGATACTAGATAAAAATGGCAAATCAATTGATGACGTAGTGAAACTTTATCAGTTAAGATGACTGGGACACGTGTTACGTATGCCCAACCACCGACTGCCTCGACGTGCGATGTTTTATGGTGTAGGAGTAGGTTGGAAAAAAGCTAGGAGCGACCATACTAAACATGGCACAAATCCATAAAGTCACTAACAAGTAGACTGAGCCACGTTGCTAGGTGTAGACTACCTGGTTGGGGACCGCGAGATGATAGCAACCGATGGTTAGAGACCCTGAATGACATGGCTCAAAATCGTTTGCAATGGCGCAGGCGTATCCACTCTTTGTGTTCTCTCAAATTCTAATCTTCTGAATTCTTCATGTCCCTTTATTTAGTCTCCTTCGAAATTTATTTCATTAGATTATGCTCTTTGAATAACATCTTCAAACCCTAATGTTTCCAATGACTACTTATACTCTGAACGCCTCTACTACGACGGGATTTGAATCGACAACTGCATTTCTGTGCTAATGTGGTGTGGCAACTCGAACTGATGTACTTACGTACAAAGTTCTACGTCGTTACTGACTGATATTTGAATGTACTTTTATCCCAGTATCCAGATATCTCGGTGTGAATATTAATTTTGATCCACGTAAATCCAGCTGATATCTCCTGAATAGGAAAAAACGCTCGTCTAAGATTCTATCGTTGGCTAATATTCAAAATATAGTTTGTTTATAGCTATAGGCCGTATTGAGTCTTTCATTGAATAAATAAGTACTTACCTACGCCTGTTACTCCCACTGGAGCATAGGCCATCGACCAGCATTCTCCAACCCACTCTGTCCTCGGCTTGTATCTCTTCATTTCTGTAGCAATTTGGAAGACTCTTCCGATCTCCCACATTGTAAGAGCATACCATGTACCTAAATTAATTATTGCTCTGGTTGTCAGAACGGGCATCAGCCTCGTGAGTTCCGATAGAATTCGGCTTTCACCATGAGGCGTCATAACTCTTCTAAATGAAGACGTTCTAACTGCCAGGACAGAGTATGAATGGTTTGAATCATTTTTTCTGCTTAGCGTGTTATTTTTCTACGGGATGGGGTCGCTAACTTCATGCCCAACCCTCCTCTTTTGTCCTGGCTTGGGGTCGACAATATCCCCAGAGGGGCTCCAGGCGGAGTTGAATGAATACGTACATCTGCCAAATTTAATCTTGAATATCAACAATCGAGAAATTTAAACGCTTGTTATTGACGATGAATCACTTTAAACTTTTTTTGTGTTCATGAGTGTGAAGCGTTGTCCCACTAGTTATAAGCTATTTGATTTTCAACACTATGAGTTTGAAATTTACAACTCCGGCCCGACCTAATTCATTTTGAGCATTCGGGCAGTATCACTAATTCGTCTATAATGATCAAATTCTCTGAATCTCCAGTTTTAAAGTGCAATCATTTGGTTAAGCTTTTCGATATTGTATAATGATTGATCCATAATGTTCAGAATCTAATCAACATGAGTTCCCTTTATGCTTAAGCTATGTATTCAATAGCGTGTGTATGCACTCTTTCTATATAAGTTGCGTCCTAATCATTAAGGTCACTTGGTGTTGTTTTACTTGTATCTTCCCATTGTTATTTAGGACTGCAATTTATCAGTTTCATGTTGGCAATATGTGCAGTCAGTCAGTCAGTCAGCTACAACGTAGGACCAGGCACATATGTGCATCGGTCCAGGTTGCCATACCTCATTAGCACAGCAAGATGAACACCGGATTCATAGGAGTGGTTAGGTCAAAGGTTGCAATAAGGATATAGTATAGGAAGAAAGAATTAGTTCGTAGACAGAAAGAATGAAGTGATTTTAGTCTCTTAGTTTAAGGGAAGACAAGGAGTGTATACACCGACGCCATTGTGATCGATTCCGAGCCATGTCCCCAAGAGTCTCCAACCATTGGTTACGAAAGTCACGCGGACCCCAACCAAGTAGTCTGCATCTACCAACGTGGCTCAGACTAGAAGTTAGTGACTTCAAGCACTGATGCCACGTTTTGGTTTGGCCGCCCCTAACTTTCTTCCAACCATCCCCTACCCCGGTTAGCATTGCACGTCGTGGTAATCGGTGTTCAGGCATACGTAATACGTGGCCCAACCATCTCAGTCGATGAAGATTCATAACCTCATCAACTGATTTACCATCATTCCCTAATACCCTGCGTCTAACCACGCTATTACTAACCCGGTGATCCCAGCAGATGCCAGCAATATTTCTAAGGCATCTGTGGTCAAATACTAGTAGCTTACGGGTGTCTTCTACTCTTAAGGGCCATGTTTCGCTGCCATAAATTAAAACAGAACGAACTGCCGCGCAGTATACTCGTCCTTTTATTGATAGACGGATATCTCGCCTTCGCCAAAGGTGACGTAAGTTGGCAAAAGCCAAACGAGCTTTTCGAATCCGTGCTGAGATTTCGTCCGATACCAACCCATTAGGGCTGATCAGACTTCCAAGATAAGTGAAGTTGTCAACGCGTTCGACTACTTCACTCCCTATCCTTAGTTCAGGTGTTGAGGCAGACCAGTCCTGAAGCAACAACTTGCATTCAGAGGGAGAGAAGCTCATCCCAAACATTCTGGCATTGTTGCTTAGTGCTACCAGAAGACTCTGCATTTTGTCAGCGTCTTCACCAAACAGGACTATGTCATCTGCGTATTCTAAGTCGATAAGTGGACCTCCTGGAAGGAGATCAATACCCGAGAATTCAGTCGACGAGAGTGTTATTTCCATCAATAGGTCTATGATGAAGTTAAACAAAAATGGAGAAAGTGGACAGCCTTGACGGACACCACTTGAGGTTGCAAAAGTAGATGACAGTTCGCCATAAGCCCTGACTCGACTAGTGGTGTTCGAGTAAAGAGCCTTCACAAGGTTTATGTACTTCTGAGGTACGCCTTTCAATGACAGACACTGCCACAGAGTCTCGCGGTCTACCGAGTCAAATGCTGCTTTTAAGTCAAGAAAGACCACCATCGTCGGACGCCGATAGGTATGCCTGTGTTCTAGAACCTGACGAATGGTGAATATGTGGTCGATGCAGCCACGACCAGGTCTAAAGCCAGCTTGGTTCTCTCGAGTTTGTAGTTCACGAGTCTTAGTTAGGCGTTTGATAGTTATCGAGGCCAGTATTTTAGATACTATGTTTGTTAAACTAATCCCTCTGTGGTTGTCACAGGATGATTTTGACCCTTTCTTATATATTGGGACGATAAGTGATTGTGACCAGTCAGATGGGATAAAGTCTAATTCCCAGATCTTAGCTAAAATATTAGTCAACTTAATCGCTAAAATTGGACCACCATCCTTAAAGACCTCTGGAGCCAATCCATCTGGACCAGCTGCCCTTCCTCGTTTCAGATTCACTATAGCCTTTTGGACTTCAGCAAGAGTAGGGGGACCTATTTCAATGTTCCATTCACACTGTCTGGGAATGGAGGGTAGTTGTAGAGTAGCTGAAGGCCAGCTGAACTGTTCTCTAAAATGTTCCGCCCATCGTTCTAAACGTCTGGACTGGGAGCAGATGAGAGTATCATCTTTTTCCGAAATAATCTCACTTACACTTGACTTACTAATTCCAGTTTCTTTTATTAGTCTGTAAAGCTGTCTTGTGTTCCCTATAGTCGCCGCCTTTTCCATCTCTTTTGCTTTCGTTACCCACCACTGCTCACGGTCGTTCTTTAGACTTTTTCTTAACCTAGATCTGATTTGTTTTCGCTCTTCATCATGTTCAGGACCTGATGGGACGAGTTTGCGAGAATCCATCAGTGTGACAGACCTTGAAGAGATCCACTGGTTCCTTGCAACTCTGTGGTTTAAGTCACTAATAGATGTCACTGCTGTTTCCACAGCTGATTGTATGCCCTTCCAAGCAACATCTGGGTCAGCCTCGTCTTCACAACTACCTAAGTGTGACCTCAGTTGTTCCTGGAACCTACTTTTGGTTTTCTCGTTACTCAAATCAGTTCTAATGGGTCTTTTTATTGTGGCTTTTTTGCGTCCAGTGAGGCGCAAGCAGATGCGTGCCCATATTAGGGCATGGTCGGAGTCCAAGCAGGTACTCCAGAATGAGCGACAATCTTCTACCGACCCTCTCCAACGATGACTGATGGCAATATGGTCTATTTGAGTCCATCGTTGGCTTGGTGTAGGGGGTCGCCATGTTAGACGATGTCTCTCCTTATGCTTAAAATTTGTGTTTGCTAAAAATAAACGATTGTCTGAGCATAGCTGCAGCAGACGATCACCATTATCTGTTCGCTGTGTCGGAATACTAAAATATCCACCTAAATGCTTTTCTGTTTGGTTTAAACTGCCTATCTGAGCATTAAAATCACCTGCTACGAGTACTATGTCTGAGCGTTTAGCTTTCTGAAGAAGTTCGGACAGCTTTCTGTA